CCCCCCCCCCCCCCCCCCCCCTTTTTTTTTTCTTTAGTGGGTGCTTCAAAATACATTTCATTTGAGTTAATTTATTTATTTTTATTTTGTTTAGAGGCAAAAAGAAATATACATTCCGGTGGATTTGGAGTTTTAAGATTATCTGGGCCTCCGGCACTTTGGCCTTGCTATTTATTGTTGACGACGATGATACTATGATACTAGGAAATAAAGGATTGATTTGGGTCTTTTTGCTTAGAATGAACAAAGTTTCAATTTTCTTTATATGGGTAGGTAGAATATTTTGAAATGTTATTTTTTAGATTATATATCTGATATCTCTCAATTTATTGAATTTATGAGTATCTTAGTATTTAGGCTACGTATTTGAACGTTTTTATTTAATGGATTTCATTTTTAACATCTGATATGGCAAAACCTGAAATTAACAGTCGGATCTATTGTTTGAAAAACGGAGGAAGTAGGAAGAAAAAATTGATTGAAAACCCATCACCGGCTTATTGAATTTCCTTTGTAATCTTCATGAAATCTTGATGTTCTTGTAAACTAATACGATGTCATTTGAAGGAAATACTTGGTTGGCGTGATTGACAAGATGTCATTCAAGAACATTGTACGCGAGATAAAGGAGATGAAAGATGGGATAGGTAGCATATTGAGACGAGGGGATGAGGGAAAGCATTGGCGCAGCCGGACCAGGTCGCATATAGCCCCTGATGTGGTGGCTCCTTCTCAGCCAGTCAAGCAAGGGCAGTGGGCAAATTTACCTCCGGAATTGCTTTTGGACATTATCCGGAGGGTTGAAGAGAGCGAGACGTCTTGGCCTGCTAGAACAGTTGTTGTCTTTTGTGCTTCAGTTTGTAAATCATGGAGGGATATAACAAAGGAAATTGTCAGGCCTCTGGAGGAATGTGGAAGACTCACCTTTCCCATATCATTAAAGCAGGTTACTTTTGTTCATTCATTCAGTTTTTGTTTCATTTCTAATATTCATGATGTGTAGTTGCTTATGTATGTTTGTCTTTTTTTTATCTATACTCGCAACTAGCCCGGCCCCCGAGATTCTCCAATCCAGTGCTTTATCAAGAGGGATAGGACAACTTCGACATACCATTTATACTTTGGTCTGACACCATGTAAGTCATTTTATTTGCTCGGACATATTTTTACATCTGATCCATCTTTAGGATTCCCTTGAGTTCCACTTGCTTCTTTAAAGATGGGATGCTCTATATTCCTTTGGGTGTGGTACAATTTCACTTTTGAGTTTTTCTTTTAAACTTAAATACCTTGTCACATGTACTATACACTCAACTTGCTAATTTGCAGCTGTTACTTACTGATTGTGGTTTGTGTCTCATTTTAAAATCACACCTTTTTGATCTATTCATTTTAAGTTAGATTAATTCAAAACTTATCTCATGTTCATAAGATATGGCTTTCGTTGCATTTGATTCTAAGCGGACTTGATACGGGAAACTAATTTTGTACCAAAAGTCGAATGTGATTTTTGGAATTAATGTGTTTGTCTGATAAAAAGATTGATGGTCAACTTATTCTTCTTATTTTGCCCTTGTTTGACACCCATTTTAGGAAAGAATTTGATTTAGAATAGTGATTGATGGAAGAATGTGTGGTTAAAAAGTAAGGAGAATTTTTGGGTTTATGTGTAATATTATTTTATTGAAAAAATGAGTGGTTGAAATGAAGAAAGAGAAAAAAAAAATGAATGTCAAACAATATGGAAGAATGTGTGGTTAAAAAGTAAGGAGAATTTTTGGGTTTATGTGTAATATTATTTATTGATAGAATGTGTGGTTGAAATGAAGAAAGAGAAAAAAATGAGAATGAGAAAAAAAATGAATGTCAAACAAGGGTTTTATAAAAAATTATGCTCAATTGCAAAAGTTTGTGTTTCTAATGACCGGTGTCTATTACTACATTAGTTATATTTGATAAAAGGAAATTACAATTGTTCTACTGAAAATGCTACAAAAATTTAGGGACTGTTCTTTTTGTATTTTAGTTTTGTATTTTGAGTTTTGAATTTATTTTTGGTTTTGAGTGTCTATTTTGAAATTATTGAAAATGTGTTCTTTTTGACATTTTGAAAAATTGTTTTCAAAAATAAAAAAAAATGGAAAACCCGTTTACTTTCCCCTCTCCTCTCTCTCTCTCTCGTTAACAAGCGACTCATATGAGTCCCAGCACGATTCGGCTGACTCTGGCGGCGGGAAAAACGAGTTAGTAACTCTGAGGTACTCAGATTCAATGAGTCGGATGCCCTGTTTAATATACTGGAATTCCGATTGGCTATCAATGTTATTGGGCCTCTTACCTTTCCGTAAAACACCAAAGTCATTGGGCACTGGGTGGAGACATTACCATTTTAGAGGAGGGCCTGGCTGGCGGTGGCGGGAGGTAGAGGGAACCAATACTTGGCACAAAATTGATAAAAACAGTAAAAAATAACAAATACGCAGCATTGAATTTATGGGTTTATAACGTCAATTCACAAAACTCTAGAGGAGGTTTGCTTTATTCTACGGCAGCTTGCCATTGAGCTTTTGAGGTGGGCAGGGAGTAGGGTTTAGGGAAATGGAGTTGATAATGAAGAACATAACTATTCATTGAGCAACCAAGGTAGAGATTATTCAGTAGAAGATAAAGAGAGAGAAGTTTCTGGGAAAGACGAAAAGGAAATTTGGAACACAGGAGTTGACTTCAATGGCCGATGCAGTGAATTGAGGGATCCACCATTGTTGTTGAAAGTTGAGCTGTGCCTGTGCGTAGAATAAGGCGAGGTGAAAGTGTGAAAATGGAGATGGTCAAACGGTTAAATCAACAACTCCCTACGCTAGTGGTTTTCAGGCGGTTGTGCAGTGGTGGTGGTCGCGGTGGTGCGGTGGTGGTTGGCAGTGATTGAAAATATCCAAAACGCGTTTTAAAAATTTTGGCTTGATTATTTCTTTGTAAATTTTTAACTTGTTTTCAAAAACGCGTTTCGAAAATAGGAAAGAAAATGCGTTTTCACTGTTTTGGAAATTTGAAAATAGAAAACGGCTTGAAATGGTAGAGAGAACGCGCCCTTAGGATTTCTCAATTTTCAAAACTTTCTGGTGACTATTCTTGTTATACAAATTTCAGTGTGGTGAAATTCAAAGATATGTACAGGAAGTCCTTTTCTGCAGTTTTTGTTGCGCTACACAATAGTGTTTTTGTTTTGCACTAATTCAACTCGAGAGATGGATATTGGTTTTCAGTTATGAATATCCCATGAATGGCAGAACTCTTCCATTCATATGTTTTGTTGTACTCATCATCGGTGTAGGCATTAGGATAGCTTCTAAATTGTGTCAGCTGCCCTGCAAGTTATTTGGTCGTGGCATATTTTGCAATGTTGGGTGGACTTTGTGCAGATTGTCAATTTAAACTCATTCCTTCATATATGATGGTTGAGGAAGTTTATTAAGCCCTTGTTTGACATCCAATTTTTCACCATTCCCATTCTCATTTTTTTTTCTCTTTCTTCATTTCAACCACACATTCTATCAATAAAATAATATTACACATAAATCCAAAAATTCTCCTTACTTTTTAACCACACGTTCTTCCATCAATCACTATTCCAAATCAAATTTTTCTCCAAAATGGGTGTCAAACACACCCTAAGTCTGACCAAAGTAGTGTGAGAATGAAAACTAGCCAGCTTCAAATGAGTGATGAAAAATGAACAGTATCCATCTCTTGAGATTTTCTTCGTAATCAAAATTTTCCTCCTTTGTTATTCTTATTCTCTGGTTCTTGAGGTCTCTCCAAAGAAGTGAAATTTCTTTTCCTTCAAAACCTAATAAAGAACTCCCACTCCCCGCACAAAATTCAATTTGACCGCAGAAGCGGAGAAGGAAAAGTATTTTCTTTTCTCCACCATGACTAATTTTCCGTGAAATTTGTTACAAATTCAAGAAGGAAAAAAGGGATTGAAACCGCATTTACACGATGCTGAAGAAGATGACCTTGAAAGGGGAAATAAGAGTCTCAAGTACTCTATTTGGTAGTCCGTAACCGTAATTGAAGAGTTGTTGCATTGGTAAGGAAAATTATTGCACTGAAATTGATGGTCGTTGCATTTATTAAGGGAGCTTGTGGGGATTGAAAGGGTTAAGGATGAAAAAAAATTTCCTCTTGCTTTCTTTGAACTCTTAAATCTCAACTTGACCAACTTGTGCTAGGCAAGTAGATGGCTCAACTCTCCCAGCAACTCGGTTCAGTTAACTGAACTGGGTTTAAATTTTTTCCCCACTTGTTATACAAGACTGATCATATGCCTCTTGGAAGCTATGCCAACTTCTTTCCACTAGGCTACACTCAACAATCGGTGACAATTCCCACTACAAAATAAGTAAACAGAACTTCAACTATCTTACAAGAAAATTAGTGCAATTGTCTCTCTCTAATTAAATGCGAGTATATTTTAATGAGTACTACTATAAAGGATGAAAAAGATGTTGGAGTTTATAATGTGAAATAAATTTTGACAGATCTAGTTTAAAATTTTAAATTAAATGCTTATTTTATTTCTTATGTTACCGTATACTATAGTTGACTGGCAAACTTTAAATAACTATCTATTGACTTTGTTGATGTGTGCATAGAAATTATTTAATTAATATCTAATCTCTTCATTGTACAAGAGAATTGAAGGTAATGCAAGTATACAACAAATCTAGATAGTGGAAACTTGTATGCCAGTATTATTTTGATCATGTCTCCTGTCACCAATTAAAAATTTTATTTCATGTAAGTAAAAATATATTATTGACACGGAATAGTAACTGATCTTGATATGTTGATTTTAAATTTGTCATAACTGTATATACATGGAAGGATAATGAAACAAAGAGAGATACATGTGAGAATTATAAATTTTATCTAAATACATATCAATAGATTGTGTCATTTTATGATTTACATATATATGAATCATGGTTATAGTTATGATTTAAAGTATTGTTAGCTCAAAACATGTATTCGCTTTTAAACTTAGTTATTAACCTATCATTTTTTTTATGTACCGACCTTGACCTAACACTTGAATCTATGAAGAGTAGTTATATCAGTAATCAACAAGTTTCCCTAGTGACTCAGTTATCCAGTGCATACATACTTTTTCTCTCCCCTCCTTGGAAGTAAAATAAGCAAGCTTATAAACTAACCCATACAGAGTGTCTAGAAAGTGCCTAGGATAGGCACGCTTTATTAATTTTTAATTTTTTTCTTTTTTGAAAGTCTTTTAATTGTCTTTCGTTTATTAATTTTTTATTAATTTTTTCTTTTTTGAAGTCTTTTATTTGACTTAGTTTCAAGTTTTTAAATGATTTTATCTTTACAAAAGTCAAAAATGACTTTATTCGATAAAGAATTAGATAAGATTTAAGTTATGGTGCTATCTACATTATATAATTATGATTTTGATACTTTTTGTTTTGTTAAAAATTTCAAAAGTATGTATGAAGTTCTTATAACTCTAATTGAAAGTTGAAAGTCGAAACTATGAAAAACATTTTATTTTTGCATTTCGAAAGTTTAAATATTGTATACTTCACTAATTGTAGGCATTACTAAGTAAATATAGTTTTTATAATTTTAGATATATGCTATGTATTATTTTAATTATCAAATGATTTTTAGAATGATTAAAAATTTAAAATAATATTAAAAACAAGAAAACACTTTTTACGCCTAGGATCACCTAGTTTAAAGCTTGGCCTCCACGTCTAATCATGCTTAACGCTTTTTAAAACACTGGTGACGTAGGATGCAATAAAACAATTGTAGAAGAAAGTAGGAGAGAAATAAGGGAAAGAATGTAGTTTTTATTCAATATTCAAGTTTGCTTTATTACAATCAACTGACCTCTTTATATAGGCTAAAAACACGACTTATAAGGAAATCACGACTACCAAGGAAAATTATGATCTTTCCTTTACAAAATCAATTTACCAAAAATGAATAAAATGCAATAATGGAAAATTCTATTGTAATTGATGTTAATTTCATTTACGCCTTAAATTTACTTTCCAATTTGCATCATTCTTCCCTGGTTGAAAAGAAATCGACTCTGGCGAGGTATAATCAGATAGGCGTCCAAAAGCGTAGTATCCAATTGACTGAACTCATCTTCATTAATCCAAGTAGCATCACTAGGAAGACGACCCTTCCAACGCACTAGAGACCTACGAAACCCACCAACTTGTGAAGTTACAAACTGATAATCAAGTATCTCATCAATGATATCTTGCAGAGAAAACGTGGTAACAGGAGCTCGAGGAGGCGGCCGAGAAGATTGCCCTGCAGAAATATTAGACGACAATACCGAAAGCTCAAACGTGCCTCGATAAGGATATAAATATGCTATATTGAAAACATGACTAATATTTAAGTGCATTGGCAACTCAAGTAGATATGCATTAGTTCCAAGCCGTTTAATTATCGAGAAAGGACCTAGGGATCTAGCAAAAAGTTTCTTGGGAGCATGTTTAGGGAATCGTTCAGATGCAAGTCGGACCATGACATAATCGCCCACATTAAATTCTTCATGCCTACAGTGGGAATCAAATGATAATTTATAATGATCATTGCTTACAGAAATTTTACGTTTAATGTCATCATGCAAGTCACGAATATGCTCAGCAAAAGCTTGGTCAGAGGCAGCAGGACGAGAATCAGCGGGCAAAGGAAGTAGATCAAGCGGCTGACGTGGAGAGAAACCCCGAATGACCTCGAAGGGGCTATGGTCGGTAGACCTATTAACAGAATTATTGTAAGCAAACTCAGCAGTGGGTAACACGAGATCCCGGTTTATCCCCAACCAAACAACGAAGTAGATTACCTATGCTACGATTCACAACTTCAGTTTGACCATCGGTTTGGGGGTGAAATGCAGAAGAGAACTTAAGTGCTGTCCCAAATAACAAAGTGTCTTCCATAAGTAACTAACGAATTTAACGTCACGATCAGACATAATAATGACCAGAAGCCCATGGAGATGGATAACCTCTTTGAAGAACAACTTAGCGATATAAGACACATCAGAAGACTTGGAACATGGAATGAAGTGAACCTATCGACCGCCACAAAAATGGAGTCATGACCTTGAGCTGTTTTAGGTAACCTGAGAACAAAGTCCATACTAAGGTCATGCCATGGAGTATGAGGAACAGGAAGAGGAGTATACATCCAGTATTTTGACGTTGTGTCTTACCCAATTGACACGTGCGACACTGAGAGAAGCGAGTAACGTCTTTCTTAAGGGACGGCCAATAAAAAATATCATCAGCTAAGGCGATTGTTTTATCTCGATTGAAATGACCAACGAGAACCCCGGCATGTAGCTCCCACACTAGGAAATCACGAAGTGAGGTGAATAACTTGGTACCCTTGAAAAAATAACCACTTTTAAGCAAGAAAGAAGCATGTTTGCAAGAAGGATTGTCGAAAAGGCCCAGAAAGATGATGACAAAGTTAGGACAACTAGGATAATCGTCCTTCAAACGTTCAAATCCTACAATAGTAGTATACTCCCTGAAGAAATTCAACCCACCTAACATGTCATTCACTTAAATGACGCTGGGAGTTAAGGTAGCGGAGAGATTGCTGGTCGGAATACAGGACAAACTCTTAAAGCAATAAGTAATATTGCCAGTGACGGAGAGATTGGACAATGGCATAAAATTGCTTATCATAGATAGAATACTTCTGCTGAGCCTGGTTTAATTTTTCGCCAAAGTAAGTGATGGGGCGACCGTCCTGACTTAAAACACCCCCATACCCACACTGGAAGCATCACAAGCAACCTTAAAAACCTTAGAAAGATTGGGGTACCGTAAAATAGGAGCCTCGATCAACTTTTGCTTGACAGCTAAGAAGGTTATATGGGCCGAAGGGATCCAACGAAAATCACCCTTTTTCATGCGCTCAGTGATGGAGCTAAAACCTTTAATGAATCTCCTATAGAATGATAGAACTAAAACCTTTGCATCAACTGGGCTTTAGTTAGGTCAATAGCAGTCTTGTACAACTATTCTACTCTCTCTTCAAAATCACCCAACCCATCAAGTTTGGTACGTTGAACCCCTACTTTGGCTGAACACTATTTTTACCTGAAATAGAGATATTGTCCATTTTAATTTAGACGAACTCTATTTTCCATCTAGCCTATGAAAACAATCATTTGAAAAATTCCTCTATCGTTTTTATAATTCTATATTTTATCATCTCAACAGGTACAAACCAACATCCAATTATGGGCTTGCTGTTTTATATGGTTAACTTGACTTCCCCATCAATCACTAATCATTCCTATAAAGTGCAAACAGAACATGTGATGGGAAAAACTGGAAATAAATGCACCTTCCTCTAATTCCGTTCCTAAAGCTAGCACAAAACATCTATTACTGAAAATTACTCAACAAGTAGATCTATTTATAACTATGATATAAGCCTGTTTCCAATACCTAATTTTTATTTTTATTTTTTTATATATATTGAGTGATGGATTTCTGTCACACGTTGAAATATGAAAGATAGATTCATTAGCTGTAGAGATCATCACACTAATTATCTTATTAATGGCAGCTGAGAACCAGAGTGACAAACTATTGTTAGCTGCAAAAAAGATCAGAAGAGCAACAAGCACCGAATTTGTAATATCCCTGGTTGGGGATGATTTTTCACTAGCTAGCAACACATACCTTGGAAAACTAAGGCAAATATTGCTACACTACTTTTATCGAGATATCTGTCTAGTAATTTCTTGACTAATAACTAAATTGAGATTTCTTATCAGGTCTAACTTTCTGGGGACCAAGTTCACCGTATATGACAGCCAACCTCCAAATGATGCTGTTGTTCAACATAATAGCTTACTGAGTCGAAGATTTCACTCTAAACGAGTATCTCCAAGATTGCCTGCATGTAACAATAGTGCTGCAACTGTTTCATATGAACTCAATGTTCTTCGAACAAGAGGTCCCAGGAGAATGCATTGCATCATGCATTCAATTCCTGTCTCTTCTATTCAGGAGGGGGGTGCTGCCCCAACACCAACATCATTTTCACGAATTATTGATGAGAAGTCTTCTCCCCGACTGGTCTCAAAAGGAAAGGAGACAGAAACATATTTCAGCTCCCCTAACCAGTCGAGTTTTGGGGAGCCACTTGTTCTTAGAAACAAAGCCCCAAGATGGCATGAACAGTTGCAGTGCTGGTGCCTTAATTTTAAAGGCCGTGTTACAGTAGCTTCTGTAAAGAATTTCCAACTCGTGGCCACTGTTGATCCTTCTCTCAACGTACCAGCTGCTGAACAAGAAAAAGTAATTTTGCAGTTTGGAAAGATCGGAAAAGACATCTTCACCATGGACTATTGCTACCCTCTATCTGCCTTCCAAGCTTTTGCAATTAGCTTGAGCAGCTTTGACACTAAACCTGCCTGTGAATGAATGATTTTCTTGCATATCCTTTCCATTTTTCTATATTATGTTTCTTTGCTGTACGAAATGGGCATATTTTAGTGGAGAATCTTTGATGTGCAGGAAGCAGTTTATCTATTAGCGTCTCAGATATAACAAATGTTATGTAAGCTCCATATTTTATGTACTTTTGGATGCTTAAATTTATCATTACAGCTTGCAAAGATTCCCTGTACAATTTTCTTGACCATTTATTTGTAGTAGATTTTTCATTTTCTGATTATAAATATAACCTCACTGATTAAAGAATACTAGTGAGAAGCACGTGCAAGGCACGTGCCATGATATAGTTGATTATGTAATAACGTATGTATAAAAAAAAAATTTATGTCAAACATTAGTTACATAAAATTTTCTTAGAAGTTGCTAAATGTTTCGAGGCAACATTGGAAAGCGCTGTTCATATGGTTAGTAAAAGAAGACCCACTCCAAAAAAAATGAACATACATGTACTGTTCATATGAACAGTACAAATAAAAACTAAAGTGAAAAACAAACTCACTCTTAAAAAATAAATAAAAATTTCATCCCTCCTTACAGCACGGAGAGATATTCTCTCCGTGCTGCAAGGAGAGAAATTCTCCTTGCAGCAAGGATGGAGAGAATCTCTCCATTCTGAGAATCCATGCCATATGTTTTTTTTTAAAATCTAGCTTTATCCTTATATTTTTTTATTCAACCAATGTAAACATGCCACTATTTTACTTTCGCCTTTTCACAATCAAACGTAGAGTACAAAAAATGAAGAAGGAAGAAATGGCCAAGCTGAAGACGAAGGAGACGTATACAAAAGAGATAATTAGGATTATTGTAATTAGTACACCTAGTAAATTAGAAACGCTTCCAACCATAACCTAGCCAGAAATTATTCAAAACATGAAAAAAAAAATTACAAAAATTTAGAAGGAGATTTTCCTCGTTCTAAAATTCGGAAAACACCCTTGAATCCAAGCTCCAGCTCTTAATTCAAACCAAAACTCCAATTTTCCCCATCCCATAAACCCTTTGCAGCTGAAAAATTACAAAAATTGAAGGGAAAAAAAATCAGATTTTTCTCTCTTTCTAGTTTTACCAGACCCATTTTGACGTTTCTACGTAAATAATGATGGTTGCGTGAGAAAACAGGAAAATTGGACTCTCCGTTCTGAACGGAGAGGATTCTTCGCTCCGCGCTGCATGGACCAAACTCGTCCGTGTAGCGCGGACTAACGTTTTGGTCCGTGCAGTGCGAACGATCGGCACGGTCTTCTTAATTTTTTTTTTTAGATATAGTGTTTCAATCCAATGCTCACAAGTAAATTACCAAAAAGATGACCCATTATAAGTGAAGTGGTCAAGGAACTCATAGTATCACTGCCCAAACTGAAGATGATCCTGCAAGAATACCGCTTTCCGATCACCATGTCCACCGGACCAACACACCAACATGAAGACCACACTGCCCTCTATATACCCTACATATCCTAAACAGCAACCGACCATAACTTAGGCAAATTTGGCCGAAAATCCACTCCAAAGTCCGGCGCAGAAGCAAAAGGCCGAAAAATTACATTCCGGCAACACCCAACCTCTGCCCAACATTACTCCACATGGCGCACATATGGGGCTCCATCAATTTGGAAGCGATCGTCGAGATTCCCTATATATGCAGTGTATGTGCATATGAGGAATTCACGAGAAATGTTGTATAAATGAGAGGACAAGTGGAGAATGGAGTAAATAGCGAGGTATGGGAGGTAGAGTGTACAAATAGAGAAGAAAAAGACGTTTTGCTTGGAGTAAATAATGAGGTATGGGAGGTAGCGTGTACAAATGGAGGAGAAGAGAAAGATGCTTTGCTCGGCTAACGCGGCTCGGCTTAGGTGGCCAATCGGCTTATGAATAGTAAAAATCAAACTCTCTTTTACATAGTAGTGACATTCGACAAAATCACCACAATTCAGTCATAAAATCCATAATTGATAGTTTGCAACATGAGAATATTGTAAACAAGCTTCACAATGCTTTCAGGATAAAAAAGTTGACAATAAAAATCAGATCACCAATTCTCTCATTTAGTCAGGATTTTCACCCTTAAATCTTACTAATTTTGATGTTCAAATAAGAACTAGAGATGAAATGACTATTTGAGAGGGAGATACTTGGATTGCATGCGTCTCTTTTCAAATGAGGGGGCATTTATAGACTTCCTTCCAAATTTTGGGATAATTTGGTCATTTCGGAAAGAATGATGATGACGGCTCCTTGTTGACTACTTAATAATTGATTCGATTTTAAGTCATGCTTTATTCATTGGTCTATATGCCTTTTATTGACAGCTTGTAACCAGCCTGAATTGGAGATAGGTTCGCAAACTTTAGGTGAGTCTTATATGCTTCCATTCCCCTCGCAGCTTGCTTTGCTCTTCGCCAACAGCCAACCAAGTTCGCGAATGTGGTTTCGAGGTTCAACAAATAGTCCCAAAATCTAGTTTTATTATTTATATTAAATTTAGGACTTTAATTATAAAACATTTTGGGTTGTGAACCTCTCAGATGACTTTGCCTGATTATTTATTTAGCTATTAATGTTCGGGCTAGATGGAACATTTTTTAATCTTATGACCATTTATTTTTATGTCTTTGTATTCAACGGATAAGATAGTATGATGTTTCGAGTGAAAAGTCCGTTGGGATTCTATAGCTGTGGTAAGAACCTTTATCTCCCCCGACATTCTCTTAAACGTTATCATCAATTCCTTACCTTCTACTGTATTTTCCCGTTGAATCACTCCTCGGACTTTTACCATTACTTTATACAATTTGACAAGGTTTTAGAATTGCCCTAATATTTTACTGCCATGCTATAGTCGCGCATCAATGATTCTAATTTTGGTACATTTGATCCAGAAGCTGGCAAAAAATGGTTTGGAAGCTAGCAAGTTTGCCATAATTTTAAATCTTCCTCAGTTATGTATCTACGAGGGATCATTATGCAAGGCATAATTTCAGATATTGTGATAACCCTCATGCATTTCCTTCTCAACAAACACCTGATCAACTTCTAGAGGTTACTTTAGGCAAATGGATAAACTTTATTATCGGTCTTGCCCTCGTCTTTTGACTCGAGAAACCATTGCGAACGTGCAAGGTTGTTTAATTTGCGAAATATGCCTTTCGGCTATGTAATAATTTTAGTTCGCATCACGTCTTTTAACTATGTAATAGACATGGTTCGCAAGTGTCATTTGCCTTGTAGCTTCCCCTTTTTATTAATGAGAATTTTCGTTTTACCATACTTTTTGCTTCGCAACAATTATTTAGCCTTTTTTAGGCTTGTACAGTAAATAATTAATCAACTTTATTGGCTACAAACGACAGGAATTCAAAAGTGAATTTTCGAGAAGAATATGAAACTAACTTTATTGAGTTCGCTCAACAAGATTTTGTTCCCATTTTATTGATAAAATTTTTTCAAGTACGTGCTATTCCAAGGAAGTTTAAGGGGTTCGTCATCTTTCCCTGCGATCTGATATGTTCCCGCTCCTATAAGTTCAACTACTGTATATGGTCCCTCCCATTTTTGACCAAGTGAGCTAGAACTCATTTCTTTGTATGCGACAAATACTTTTTTTAGGATTAAGTGTCATACTTCGAAGTTTTTCTTGCGAACCTTTGAGTTCAAGTATATTTACATCATTTTTTGGTATGCTGCGAGTTTAACTTAAGAATCATCTTGCATTTCCCCCAAGAGGTCTAGGATCGTATTCATAGATTCTTCATTTTGCTCCTCTTCACACCCTATTTTTCTTGTTAAACTAGCAACAATTTATATTAATATCATGGCCTCCATTCCGTAGGCTAGGGAGAAACAAGTTTCTCCAGTAGCGTTTTTTGTGGTGGTTCAATATGACCATAGGATATGTGGTTATTCATCGGCCAATAGGGCCTTTGCCGAATCAAGCTTCCTTTTTAGGATATTTTTTAATGTTTTATTGACAGCTTTCACTTGCCCGTTGGCCTGAGAATAATATGGAGTGTAGAAGTGTCTGCGGATACCCAACTCATTGTACATTGCTTTCAGCTTTTTCCTTTGGAATTGTGTTCCTTTGTTTGAAATTATTACGTTGGCTACTTGGAATCGGCATAATGTTTTTCCATATAAATTTACAAATGTTAGTCTCAATGATATTTACAAGAGGTTCGGCTTTTACCCATTTGGTGAAATAATCAACTTCCATGATCGTAAATCTCATATTGGATCTTGCCCTAGGCAGTGGTCCTGCAAAGTCGATTATCTATTTGGTGAAGGGCCACTACTGGTTTCCATCTTTTGTATGGGTCGTCATGGAATAGATGCGAATGTTTGACAATTTTCACATTTCCTAGCAAAGTTCATTGTATTCTTTCTCATATTAGGCTAAAAATATACTTGTTTCAAGGTTTTTTATGCTAGGGAGTGTCCATTAACGTGGTTGCCACATGCCTTCATGGATTTCTTTAATTACGTACAAGGCTTCGTCCTCGCCTATGCACCTAAGCAAATGGAGTGTGTACCCTCGCTTAAATAAGGTATCACCTTGCGGTATGTATCTTGCGGCTTTTATTCACAATTTTTGTGCTACCTTTTTATCTTCAGAGAGTAGTCCTATAACAACCCAAATCTTGGAATTTGAAATTGCTACAAAAACAACAACGTGCTTTTTTTTTTTTTTT